TGCAGGGTGGAAGCCACGACGCTGAAATGGTGCCCCGAAATGGGAGCGGGGCCGGCCAGCAAACTCTCCCTCCCATCCCGGACAGGGTTCACCCCAGCGCCTGGGACTGCGGGCCCAGGGGGGGCCGTCTGCCTCTTCCCCAGGGGTTTTTGTTGCTGCTCCGACTCCTGCAAAACTTAGCAGCCAGACTGTCACCTTTGTGCCAGATGAAAACTGCCATTTCCATACTGATCTCGGGTCAGCTGCACTGTATACGGTTTTCACCACCCAGATCCGCTTGCGTTTTTGGCCGTAACTCCCCCCAACAAACGGGAGGACAAAGGAGAAGTCCTGTCCCCTCAACAGCAGCGCTTCCCTGAAGAGCAGTCTGAATATTTGGTACAAATCCGCAGAGCCTGTGAACGAAGCAAGACTAGAAACTGTAGTTGACAACACAACTGAGGACATCAAATTCTTACTAATTACGAGAAAGGAGACTCAGCAACAAATCACCTGCAGCTGTGCACACCGTATTACACAGATATCACTTCCCACTCTTCGTCTCCCCCATTTTTTTTTGCTAAGGTCTTCATCTTTGTCACAAGTGTGAATCCAGACCAAATAAGCTGGAAATATTTTATACATACACGAGGTATACCAAATAAAAAGGCATTTTTACATCAACCTATTGTTTTTCCTTTTCCCTTTAGTCCAGAGTTCGCAAACTAAATAAAAATATTTCAGACTGAAAAATTCTGGCTGCCTACCAATATTTGAGATTAACAGGGACCAGTCACCGCTTCTACTGTTCAACCTGTGAGTCAGAGCGATGTCTGCCTGATCCTACCAGCAGTTCCTGGTGAGAAGTAAGTTATGAAAATGGAGTGTTTCCCCCTCAGTCATTGAAGTTTTTAGCTGTAGCTCTTCTCACTTCCAAACACCACGTTTGTGTTTCAAACACTACCCTTTTTGAGAAAAGCTTCTACTATTAGTTCCATTGAACTTAAAATTAGTTAAGGACCAAATACCACATTAGGTAAATAAGCATGTGATTCAAGAAACTGTCATACTTCAGGCACTAGATCTTGATTAATTATTTTGGCCTCATTAGTTTTTTACCACTGTTCTTTAATTCCCCTTTTCTCTGTCTCCTCTCTCTGGGAGTCACCAGGCAGTACTCTGTAAGAAAATGCTGGGTGTTTCAACTGGGTATTAAAAAAAACAGTGCTGGAAACCCCAGATTTTTGTATGAAGTCTTCAAGTTAAGTTTATGTTTGTTCCCGTAAGAGAAAGATATATTTGGAAGGGCAGGAGTTAAGCAAGCTGAAGCTGGTTCGTAACAGGTAGAAATCATGCCAATGGATGGGAAGGGCTGGGGGTAGGGCTGAACTTCCTGGAATGATTAATATTTGTTACTTAAAAATTGCTTTTATGGACTTTGGAAATAACCTATTGCTTTATTTACAATCTGATGCCAAGAGCGATAGAGCAGAAAATGTCGAGAGCACTCAAAGTACATTCATCTCAGTGAAGCCAGGCAACAAAATACCTATTCCACTCATCTCTATGCAAAAACAATTAATTCCTAGGTCAACCAATTGACCTAGCCTGTCTAAAATGCGGCAATTTTAAGCCTACAGCTCTGAAGGAGCAAGCAACATTGCCAAACCCATCTGGAACACCTTGGGCAGGGCACTGTTAGCAATGCACCAGCCCAGCTGGGGTTGAGGCCTCCAAGACCCATCTGCCCCTCCGAAAACTGACCAGAAGTACTCTGGAACCCCAGCCGCCATCCGGATGAGCGCCCGTGCTACCGGCACAAAGGGCAGCTTGGGCTCAATACTCTCTGTCAGCATTAGAACCCTTCAGGCTCCCCAGCCCCTGAGGCGAGACGCAGGCCGCGCACGGAAGCGGCCGCAGCCACCTCACACCTCTCC